TAACAACAATAAATCAAAGGGGAAATCGTGCCTTGATAGAGCAAATAAGATTTTAATCAAATAGAAAACGCTATTCCACACGTATATATGATCAAGAAAGAAATATTTTAATAAAATTTCACCTAAATGATACAATTTGTTATCATAACAAATCTAAGACATACCATTCCTTCTCTTTCTCCCTCTCTCTCTCTCTCTCTCTCTCTCTCCTGTTTTCAATCCTTTCCCGTTATTCTTTTCTTATCGAATTTCGCATTCGTTTCTTGTACATATATCTACATTGTTTTTCTTATTGGAGAGAGTAGTTAGTTTTTGAAATAACATAAAAGCGTTCAGAAGCAATAACTATATGAAAGGTTACAATAGTCGACTTGAAACTATATTTGTAACACATCAGTATATACTCCAGTTTGTGGAATTAGTATTTGATGAACACGAATTGAACATGAGAAAGGAGAAGAATCGAAAACTCGAAGACCAAAAAGGAAAATTGATATAATGACATCGATAATAAACTGAACCAACTACTTCATGATCATACGAATTGGATCAGCTGCCAATGAATAACTTGCTATTAAATGTGGAAGGGCTATAAAAACTAAACTAGTATAGGCGCCAAAATACACTGCAGGTTGCCATTTTTTTTGAATAACTCAATAAGGGCATAAGATAGAACGTTGCGGTTTTCAGCAATTCAAAACAGATACCTGAGGCTAGCTTTCCACAAGCAAAAATGATTTCTTAAAAAAGTTTTGATCCTCCCTCACATCTATTGGTGCAAACAGACAAAAAAATAGAATAAACTGTCGGAGTATGTTCTAGAGAGCCCGTCTCTATTCATTGTTTCAAATGCGCTGTTTACGCATTTTTGTGAAAATAAGATTAGGAACCTGAATTTAATGCTGTAAAAGATGTCTTGAAAATTTAGTGTTTGATAATTTACACATTTTTACTCTTATTTAATCGGTTTCCTTTTCGTGTTGTAGCGTGTGCACTTAACTCTTTTTTAATTAGGGTAACGTATGAAGGTCGATCATTTCTTTGATCTCTTTGTTATAGACCTGTCGCTTTGACTACATAAACTACTACTACGACGTTGTTCTTTTAAGATAGTTTCAAGCATCAGTTTTCATTTTCATGATCAGCTTTACACACTTCCTCGAATGGGATACGTCGTTAAGTTTACGAAGAAAATCACCGTTGCAGACCTCATAAAACTACTTCTAGTTCAAGTGGAGACAAAGTAAATTCTTCAAAACATAATGAATTTTTTTTGATGCATTTCTTCTTAGAACGTACCATCAGACAAGGAGAACAGTTATAACTATAAATAGTAGCGCACGATTCCATCAAAAATATTGTCAACTCCTTAAAATGTTACAGTTATTGTCTATTTTTATGTTTTGGTGTCAAACTTATAATTTTTATTATTACTTCAATGTTGTTGACATCAAGAAACAAGTACGAGTTATTATTGAAGCATCCGTTCTTTATTTGCTCAGATGTGTACCATTAATTCATAATGTTTGTTCAACGTTTTCATTCTACATTATCAAAAGTCAAATATTTTGTCATTCAAAATATGACTTTCTAACATGATGATTACAATTTTTTTTTCTCTTTTTTATTCACTAAATGTATAACAGTATAAATATTCAATATACTGGTCTACATCTTTTGTTCTATTACATAAAGTTCTGTTAACATGAACACATTTTTTGATCATTAGCTTTACTTCAATTTAGTAGTAAATTCTTAGTATATACGTGTATTTAATTTTACTATGTACAAAAAAGATGTATTTCTAATATAGTTGTTGTTGTTGTTGTGGTTGTGGTTGTTGTTGTTGATTAGAATGAATATTAACAATCGTTGAAGGCAATGAATATGATGGATTTACACTTGTCATATTCCATTTCAATCGTTTAATATCAATTTGTCTCTGTTGTTTACGTTGAAATCGTTGTTTACATAATAATTTAATAAATGCTTGACGAAATTCTCTCGATGTTAAAACGTAAACATGAAAATTTAATGCCGAATTCGTATAACCTAACCATGTAAATATTTTAAATAATAATTCATGATTTGATGATCGAATCAGAAATACACCACTTAGTATATGATAAGCAAAAAATGGTAACCAACATGCAACAAATACACCCATGACAATTCCTAATACTTTTGCCGCTTTTTGATCACGAGAAAATTTTGAAAATTTTTTACCAAGATTTTTTGGTGTACGTATGAAACGATTTGATATTAAAGTCGAAAATAAATGAGAATGATGTTGTTCTCGAGCAATAGTTGAGGATGGTATCGTTTTTTGTGGTTGATATTTTCCATGATGTATTCGAAGCGTTAATATTTCAGACGATTTTTGTTGTTGTTGTTGTTGTTGATTTTCAACTAAATTATAATTTTCATACAATTCATCATCATTTTGTTGAATTAGAGATGTTATCAGTTTTCTTTTATTATTTGTATTGTTGTTTTTGTCGGGATTTTTTTTTTCAACCACCGTTTGTTTAAAACTGAATTTTGGTATAATTGTTGATATTGATTTATAACTGGATATACTACCGTTTGTATATTTAAAACCTGAGCGAAGTGCAACCATTTGACGATTAGCTTCGCAAAATATTCGAGCATAAACGAATACCATAACGAATAACGGTAAATAAAATGAAACTAACGATGAAAATACAATATAATATGGATCAGATGGAAATTCACAGCGACCATCACTAAAATGTAACTTTGAAACGTTACTTAAAAGTTTATTTGATGATGAAGATGATGTTGTTGTTTGTGCTAAAAAAAAATGAAAGTAATCTTGAAATTTTGTTGAAAATAAAAAAAGAAAAATTATTTATTAATTCTACCTGTGGTTGATCCCCAATAGGCAATTATTGGAAATGAGAGTATTGCTGAACATGTCCATATAGCAAAAATCATATAATTCCATTTTCTTGATATAAATGAATTTGGATATAATATTGGATTTGTTATTGCAATATATCGATCTAATGCGATAACACATAATGCTAAAATAGATGCTGTTGATGCAAATATATCCATAGCATGCCAAAAATCACATAAAAATCGTCCAAATAGCCAATAACCATTTGTCATTTCAAAAATGAGTGCAAATGGAATAACAATACATCCCACAAATAAATCAGCAAATGCTAATGATACAACGTAATAATAAGTAGACGAATGTAATTGATTTTCATGAAACACTGCTCTAATAACTAATATATTACCAAATATTGTCATTATACATAGACAAAGTAAAATAACGGCTAATATTGGATGACGCCATTCAATTACAGTTACCGTTAAATTGTCCATTTTAACATTGTTTTGTTGTTTAATTATATACATTTATCATTTTAACACTTCAGTTGATAAACTTGATAATAAAAAACACATATATCATAACCAATTATTATGATTCGCATCTATCGACATAATTGATGGGTTTTAAGTTATTTGATGCAGGATACAAGAAGAGAAAAACATTAAAAGACATAATTGAATGATTACCAGTTGTTCCTCACCTGAATAGAGACGAAAAGAAGAGAAGGATCAATCATTATTGTCATCAAGAGCAGGTGTTAGTCATTTAGCTTTTCCTTTATGAATAGAGAATAAAAAAGGAAAATTTTTTTTACTCTTGCTTTATATTTGGGCATTTTTTTTTTTTTCTTTTCCAATTCTGTTCGTTTAAATTCCATGTGTTAAAGATGATTTATGTTTATCATTCTGTTCCATCATTTCCCGCTTGTTTGTCTTTCCTCTTTTTTTTTTTTTTCGATGATGAATTCAAATGCAAGTATTTCTTTATTAGACATCTTTTAGTTATGATAGCTCAACACGGGCATACATAATCAATTGGCTTTTCCTAGCATGTATCTGTATAAGAAATCATATATATATATAAAAACGAAGACAAATGACCTTGAATACGCCGTCAGCCATACATACTGAAACGTTTGTTTTTCAATAAACAATAGTGTACGTAGACTGGGGTGAAACCTTTAAATATACCCTTTTGAATAATGATCGATGACAATACGAGAATTATGTTTTTTTTCCATCACTTTTAGACATAGTTATACTTTATAGTGAGAAAATTAAAGATCGATGCAATTAATATTGACAAAACCCACTCTTTAGACGTTAAGCGCATTGTCTCCTTTTTCGAACAAGTATAAAACGTTTTTTTTTCTAATTTTAAATGTTGACTTGTAAAGATCTAAGTGTCCTCTATAAAATGACAGTCATCGTGACATTCAAAATTTATAAATTATTTAATTTACCAATGTAATGTAAATTAAAACTTCTTCTTTTACTTTCTCAAATGTGTTCGTTAGTCTACGCATGAGATAAACAATTTTTAATGACATCAAGTTAATTGATGGGTGTGTTTCTTCAAAATGAAAGATATGTGTTTGCTAACTGTTGAAGAACCGTTCCATCTTTGTATACACAAAGAAAACTTTGAGATAGATTTTTAACTAGACGGACTCGATGAATAGAACATTTTTCGACATATGTGAAAAAAAAGATTTAATTTTAATAAAATAAAGAAGTTCATCCTAGATTTGTCTCATATATCAATCTTCGAAATAAATTTTAGAAAAAACAAAAAAAAATATAAATCAAGCAGCTTTAGAAAATTGCTTGATTCTACTAATCTTTTTATTTTCGTTTTTTTTCTCATGAAATTTATTTTCCACTAGTCTCTGTTATACACTGATATTATTTGCAAATCTAGTGATATTTATATGCGTAATGAATCGTTCATTTGAATAAGACGAAATAAAAAAAAGAACATATTAATAAAATTAAGAATAAAAACATCCAATATTTAGAGTTTAGCACAGCATGCAAAAAAAAAAAAATATTGTAGCGTGTGTATATGATAAAATTTGATGATAGTATTATATCTGATATAGAAAATAATATTTATCGAAGAAAGAAAATTGGAAAGTGTATATACTATAGAACTAACTAAAGAATATAATAAATATATATAGAGAACGATCAGTTCTTAATGGAAATTCACAATTAAAAAATGGGTAAAATCAGGAAGTAGAAAGAAGTACTACATTAATACTAATAAGAAAAATAATCAGAAACCAAATCAAAACAAAATAAATATTCAACATACAATAGTAAACAATACAATTGTAATAAGAAAACAAAATAGTCGATATGAGAACTAAAGGAGTCAAGTGAGAGTAAATCATAAAATATTATTTTGTTGACTCTTATCAATTTGCATCTCTCCATTTTCTCAATGATTCTTGATCTAACTTTTTACAAGTTAGTTGTTTTTTTTTTTTTGTTCGATTCGAATACAACAACTTTTCATGTCATACTAAGTATACAAAGCGGTGACTATGTTTTTGTGAATAACTCGAGGACAAAATACGTTAAAAACTTCCGGTTTCCGTTATTCAGTAGTTAAGATTATAAAACATGTTCTAATAGACAATGGAATTTTTGAAATTATTTTTCAAAAATCAACTTTTCAATAATATCTCTGAAAGACTTTTTCATAATTCGAAAATTAATATTTAGTTTTATATTCAAAGTGTCCTCTGTTAAAATGAGATCTAAACGAAAGTTTCATCCATTATGACTTGTAGAAGAACAATTTTTTCTATAAACTATAAGACTTGCACGTTTTTCTATCTAAGAATCGAAAAAGCACATGGAAACATAGATTTTTCAACTGTACCGAATCTCTTGATTAATGTTTGTTTTCAAAAGAAACTTTAGAAATTTAGTAGATGAAATAGTCTCCTTTGGACTAGTTTTACTAAAAATTATTTCTTTTTTTCAGACAAGATAAACGAAAGATGAGAAATTAAAAAGAATTTTAAATTAATCAATTGTCATCACTTATAAAGATTAATTATCTTAACCAAAATGTCTATATAAAGTGTACTTCATTATGAATTAAAAATATAATGAAATAAACTTGTCTTAATTTGTATTGAATAATCAAACTTTATAAAAAAAGAAAAAAATTTTCATAAAATCTTTCTAGTTGAAACACCGTCTCAAAGTTAAACAATCATTTTTCCTATTTGTAACGTGTAAGATGAAAAACGTAGCATAGATAGTAGAACGTTTTCATATTGTATTGAGACTTAATTATGATGATAAAATCATGATTTTGTAAACATTTAAATATCATGAAAAACAAGTGTATCTTTAAAACACATTTTACATAATAATAATCTAACACTTACTTCATATTAAGTTCATTGATTCCATAAAAGTTAATAAATGAAATAATGAATAAATTATTACATTTCATTTTTTATAACAGAAAAGCAAAAAACAAAAAAAACAAAAAATAGTAAGATTTTGTAAATATAAGTTGTCTATGCTATTTATTCTATACAGTAATTTTCAAAAGTTGAATATATCTAAAATGAAGAGTAAAATGAATGTTTATTCTTAATAGAATATCATTAAAACTAATTCATATATTATAAATAAATAATCTGAAATAAAATGACATAAAACGATGAATATTTAATTAGAATAATGATAATTGGCGACAAAAATAAAAAAAAACTATAAAAAAAATGGTAAATTTTATCTAGTTAATTGGAAATAGTGATCTAGTGTATATTTATATTGTAATATGTTACTCTATGATGATAAAACTAAACACATTATAGTGAATAATTATTACTATCACACCATTTATAAAGAAAAATAGACTTATATATTGAAATGATTATCTGTTTTCTTTCTTATAGATATAGAGAAACAAACGAAAAAAAAAAAAAATGATTTCCAAATAATCTGAAAAATGGATCTTGACACTAGTCATAGATCAAATAAAAAAATTAGTTTCAAACGTCATTTTTCTTAATTCATAGTTACAGCTGTTGATATTTTATTAGACAATGTTGTGTGCATACACATTATTTGAAGAAATCATTAACTATGCTAGCTAGAAAAAAAAAAAAAAAAAAAAAAAAAGAATTAAATTTATTTTTAATTAAATTAAGATTTTTTATTGCGAACATGAAATAAATTATTTATTTTTTATTTTATAATTATGTTTCTTCAAAAATATCAGTAACTAATCAGTCCTTTAACCATTAATCAATATGAATTTTTCATAAGATTTTTCAATTAAATAGACTCTATTGTTTTACTTTCAACAAAAAAAACAAAAAAAATTTTGATTTAGAGGTATATATTAATTCATTCAATTGTTCTTATTTTAAGATAACTTTGTCATGATAGGGAAGAACAGTATAGGTTTTTTTATTTTTATTTTTATTTTTTATTTTTTTGTTGTTTTTTGAGACTGAGACGAAAGTTATATTATTTAGTTAAAAATAGAAAATAAAACTAATTAACCCAATTCCTCATCATTCGTTGATATACCCTATTTTATAATGACATTTTCTTTTTTCTGCTCTATATCTTCTAGTGTTAATAATAATAATAATAATAATAATAATGTTAAGCAAGAAAGAAACTAACCAAAATGACGACAACGAATCGAAGAAAATATAGATGGATATTCGTTCCAAAAAAAAAAAAACAAAAAAAAAAAACAAGAAAATAGAATTTTATTTGAACGGGTAAAAAAAAGAAACCCAAAAAAACAACAATTCATGTATTACATACATACGTGAGTTTGATATGATAGATGATCATCATTGTCATTGTATATAGAATCTATTCATTATCGTACCCGAGAAAGAAAACGATATATACATTCAATTAAACTTGTAAAGAATGTTCTGTATGGATTTTATTCATTCACGCATCTTCCATTTTTGTCATAATAAAAAAACTATTTAAGGTTACTATTCGATAGCTATACTTAAAAACAGGATATTATTTATACTTTTGATTTCGATATTGATAAAAAATCCATTTTTTTTTTTTTTTTTTTTTTATTTATATTTTTTTATAACTAATATTAATTTTTTTTTGCGAAAAAAGTGAAATGAAACTCATTAGACTAGAGTGACTGTAACTATAGAGTCCAATTTTTTAGGACAAGTAAAATCGATCAATGTATTACCTTTTTTAATCAATAATTTTTCTATAAAAAAGTGTAAATTTGATGTTTTTTTGTCTAATTTCTTATCAGAGTCATTTATGTACATTTTTATGAGTCTATTACTGATCAAGTTTTTTGTCACGAATATATGAAAATTTGAATAGTGAAATTTTAGAATTGACAAAGAGAAAAGATCAGCAAGATTTTAGTAGATCAAATCGTGACTAATCTTACAAGAAAAACTTACGAAGTGTTACTTCCAAGGGGGAAACAGCAGACTCTGGGACTCCACAGGACGCCAAGGGACTCCGCTATTTCCTGGAGTCCTTGCTATTATAAAAATCCATTTCAAAAATCCACACTTCTGGATTCCATTGGACTCCAGTCACAATCCTGTTCCCGAAACAGAACAATTCTGTTCTTTTATTGGGAAATTTTCTGTACCGAAACAATTGTGTTCTGTTCTGTGAATTTTTCCCACAGACAGAACGTTTTTGTTCTCTTTGTGGGAACCCAGATTTCTGGGACAGTTCAGTTCAATAAAATTTCTTAAGTTCCCCTAAGGACTCCGAGGGACTCCATGGGACTCCGAGGGACTTCAAGGGATTCCATGAGTCTGGAGTCTGCCGTTTCCCCCTTGGTTACTTCGCTTTTCCTTTAAAACATACTTGAGTAAGGGTAATTTTTAATGCTAATCACGAATCTAATATCTATTCATACTGTTATAAGAGAATTCCTATTCTCTACTCAATTTCTCTAGAATCCTATGACGAACTTTCGTCCGAACGAAGTCTGATAGTGTCAGATTGTAGAGTAAGATGAGTTACATATTTTCACAAGTGGATTAATAAAATAGATTATTGCAAAGAAAAAAAAGCTTTTATTTTCTAATTCAGTGAATATTTAAAACTTCATAGAATACAGTCAGTACATCAAAAGTCGTAACTTATCTTATTTTACAATTTGATACTATAACAACATATTCAGACGAAAATTCGCATTTCTAGAGAATCCAACTTTGAACGGATAATATAGAGACTTCCACAAATACTAATAAAAAGTTAGACGGACAACCAAAGTACATAGACAACCCAATCAATCTACAATCGTCCATGGATAGACACAGACAATCATTTGAGAGTTGCATACACCAAGAACAATCATAGATACCTATAAAGGTACCCAGAAAAAGGAAAGAAAGCAGTGGCTAACGGTCATCGCTTCTAAAAAGAAGTCTATCTAAAAAGGTTCATTTAGAGTCGCTGAAAGATGCTATTTCATATTCAGCATAATCGAGAAGATTTTCTATTTTTGACGAGGAGTACTGCGAAAAGTTTAGAAAAAAATTTTCAAATAAAATGATGAAAAAACATTTCCATGGGAAATTAATATTACTATCCATTTTAAACTATAAGAACCGTGACTGTTTTTAAATAACTTTTGATAAAAAGCAGCTAGAGAGCTCCAGCTTTCGCCATGCAAAAGTTGGGAACATAAAATAATTTTCAGAAGAGTTTTTGAAACAGGTTTTCTAGGAAATCTTTGAAAAACCAGATTGTGTGTAAAAGTTTTCAATAGGATTGTATTCATTTTTTTCATGGGCTAGTAGTCCAATGAATACGAAAAAGCACTTTTCAGCGACTCTAAATAAACTTCATTTTTCTGTGGGTGATATGCTTATTTTCAATCGTATTTGTGTATGTGTGTATTGCTTTACAGAAGTTTCAACGCTTTCTGTACAACCACATTTGAGTGAATAGCATGCACATTGTCAACTTTATGAATAAACTTAAAGAAAGGTTCTATAAGTCATGTTTATAAATGCACTTAAAAAAGTACATTTATAAACATGATAGTATTATGCACTTGTAAACATGACAGTAGTATGCACTTGTAAGTGCTATAGATTGATTTGCCTGTCTGGACTAACGAGAGAACCTTCCTAGGTGGCAAATCGCTTTCGGACTAAAACCTGGTGGGTCAGAGATAATCAAGGGTGCTGATTCCAAATATAACAATCATTTTGGCTGATAGATCTTCAGAGACTGGATTTCTGGAAAACCAGTTTTTCAAAGCTTCTAAAAAGTAACCAAAACCTTTGTTAATGAGATAGGATCGTAGCCCGCAGATTTCTGATTAAAATGAGACCCTTCCCAGCACTACACGATCTTTCTTTGCAAAGTTACAGAGTTTGCAAGAAAAGCCCTAAATATTCATCGTCAGCTTAAAGCTACAGAAATAAGAAGAAATTAAGGGTGCCCCTCTCCTCTTTTTGGGCTTTCCGTAGAAATGCTGTGAAATAAAAACTAAGAGTCGCTAGGGCTTCGCATTTTCAGAACTGATCTGAAACTCAATGAAGCACTTTTTCGTTCTTGTTTCAAGTTTTCAGGTGTTGCCGTGCACCAGTTTTTCATTGTGCCACATTACGACCCTCCGTAAATTTCATCCGATCGCGTTCAAAATTTTACCATAGGTACTCAAGACTCTATTGCAGTGCAATTTTTTTGGAATTTTATTTTAGACTTTTCTTTACCGAGTTATAGGAAAAATACTGAAAAACGTCTCAAAAACCAAGTTTTTCAATTTTGGAAACCCTATAAGAACCCCCTTCTGCTTGAACATTCAAAACTATTTTATTAACAACTGTAATGATAGGCTTATTTTTTCATGAAAGCTCAAATTTGCGATTAAGAAATTTCAGATAATCGCTGAGATAGCGTAAATATAATCATCAAGGATGTCAACAAAATCGAACATAATTACAGTCGATACTACAGACTTCAACAACATCAACATTCAATATAAAGGGTGATTATCGATGAAGGTCATTTTTTGTACTACAATTTATCTGTGAAATCTAACAGGTATACAAAAAAACGGGGACCATAAAGCATGCTCAATATCTTCGATATTATTTTACAAAAAAAAATGTACTGACTGTTTTATTGTGAAAGGATAGGGACGATTATCTGATGAAATTACCCATGCGTAAATTTCATCGACTAATGAAAGGCTCGATGTAGAATGAAGAGGGGAATATTTGTAGGTACTTACTACACTGTCAAAAAATTGGTTGAATCAAATTTGATTAAGTTTCTACTGCATCTGATATATATATTATAGATCGTAGTTTTGGATCTTTTTCTCTTAATTTCACAATTCCTCATGACTGTTATATATCATTCAAAACCTCTCTTTCTTCGCTATATTTCTGTATATCACATATTACATATACGGAAATAGCCGTTCTGAGGTCAAGTATGTTTAGAAATACGTCTGGCTATAGAAAATGATTTCCTACGTGCACAAAGTCTCAGATATTCTACGTCAACATTTCTCATTCGGTCACTACAATAAATATAACAGTCGACAGAGAATTTGTCGAGCTACAATTTGATATGTACTAATATACAGAAAACTTGTCCAAGGGCGCCTTGACATTAGAAATGTTTCTGCACAGCCCGAATTCTGCTCAATTTTTTCCATCAGAATTCAACTTTTATGCAATAAAAATACCATATTCGGAATCAGGATCAAAAACTGAGTCCATCAATGTGTATTTCGAAATTTTTACTTGATTTTCATTTTTGGTGCAAATCTCGATAACTTATTAACTTAAAAGCTCGACAAAAATTAAAGTAGTTGGATCGGATGGAAATACACATCGGTGAACTCAGTTTTTGATCCTGATTCCGAATATGGTATTTTTATTGCATAAAAGTTGAGTTCTGATGGAGAAAATTGAGCAGAATTCTGGCTTTGCAGAAACATTTCTAATGTCAAGGTGCCCTTGGACAAGTTTTCTGTATATTAGTATATATCAAATTGTAGCTCGACAAATTCTCTGTCGACTGTTATATTTATTGTAGTGACCGAATGAGAAATGTTGACGTAGAATATCTGAGACTTTGTGCATGTAGGAAATCATTTTCTATAGCCAAAAGTATTTCTAAATATACTTAGCCTCAGAACGGCTATTTCCGTATAGAAATATAGCGAAGAAAAAGAACTTTCGAATGTTATATAACAGTCATGAGGAATTGTGAAATTAAGAGAAAAAGATCCAAAACTACGATCTATAATATATATATCAGATGCAGTAGAAACTTAATCAAATTTGATTCGACCAATTTTTTTTCTAGGAATGGTTCTAAGGTCTGGTAAGTACCTAGAAATATTCCCCTCTTCATTCTACATCGAGCTTTGATTAGTCGATGAAGTTCAGGCATGGGCGATTTCATCAGATCGCCCCGATCCTTTTAAAGTGAAAAAATCACATGAGAATTTGTGTCAATTATTGAAATGGATAACAAAATAAGTTAAAAAGTAGTTTTTTTAGTTTATTCGCTAAACATTTCTGAGAGAAAAAAGCTGATGTAGCCATCCAGTACGCCTTAAAAAGGTCTCTGTTCTACCTATAATTAAAAACTTTTATAGTTAGATTTAAAGCTGCAAAAATTCTATTTTTTCCCAATTTCCTAAAATTGAGAATATTTTATCAGCAAGTTGTGGGTTTCGATAAAAGAAGTGTAGTTTACTCAAATGTTATCCTTTCAGTTTAAATTACTTCTTGTTTTGAAGATAAATGAGTAGTCTATATTACTGGATTCTTCTATTATAACGTATAACAAAAAAAGTCATACACTTTTGCTGTTGTCGCCCGATTCTAGAGAAGTCAATATTTACCTTAAATATTGTGATTCAAACAATTTTTGTCGTATGAATGGGAAAGAGCACATGAAAAACTGCACAAAAATATTCTGAAACCGGGTTCGGATGCTTGTGAACTATTCATGCAAATTAAGCTCCATTTAAGGAAATACGTCATTTTTTATCTTCAAATTTCATAATAAAATAAATAGTCAATACATTTTCTTTTTTTTGTAGAAAAATTGAATGGAGAATCGTTTGATAAAACAATAAACTTGATCAAGTCTGAGAACGAATTAAGATTAGTATCATGATTAATTGACTATGAGAGAGAAAAACACTGGACAAAAATAAATATCATTATAGGACGAAATGAAGGATGCACTGATACATCATTTAGAAGAATTTTTCACCAGATTAAATGTTTGAGGAGTATATATTATTGATTTATCTTACATAAAACAATATTATAAACAAAAAACAAAGAGGAAAACTATTCTACTTAAAGTTTGGATTTTTATGCACATTTTCTAATCATACATATCGCTTAGAATAATAATTTTGCTTTTTCATTAGCTGTTTGAATAATGGTATATTATTTGCATGTTGTTGAGCCATTCTCAGCGTTACTTTAGGATCTGCTTCAGTTTCTATTTCAATAATATCACTAGGAAAATACTTTGGTATTCTGTATGGAATAATTGATGTTTGGTTAACTTTTTTTGTAATTATCGAGTCACAGTCACTTAAAAATCTGGTGTAAACACTTATTAATAATGTAAGTTTATATGATTCTTTCAATTCTTTATTTAATAATTGATATGTATCATTTACTTTTAATTGACACATTTTATATAATTGTAATAGAGCAAGTCCATTCATACCATCACATAATGGCATCATTAAATATAATTTTCGATCAGCTAAAAAGTCTAACACATCATCATCTTGCCATTGTTCGATTGATTTAGTTGAATATGATCGTTTAACTACACGCCTTGAATATTTTTGAATTATTGCATCTGAATTAGATACTTTTTCAATTGGTTTTGGTGGTGGTGGTGGTGGTGGTGGTGGTAGTTGTGGTTTTGGTACATCTTCAATACTTGTTTTTACTGGACGAGCTGCTGTTGCTACTAATGCTTGTTTACGTTGTAAATGTATTTCATTTAGCAATAATTGACATGCTTTCTCAAAATCATATCGACCAAAGTCAATATAGATACGTGAACCAATCAAAAAACCTAACCAACCATCGGGACTATAACCTTTTGTCATTATTAAAGGAATTAAACGACGTTTCATTTTGAATGCATATTCGGCTTCAGCTTGACAATTTGTTGAATGTTTATAAGTATCAGACATACCCAATAGAATAAATTCAGATTGTTCAACAGCCTCTGCCATTGCACTCATAGCTGAAAATATAGGAAAAATGTTAGAGACAAGCATATTCTTTGTACATTCGTCTAGTCATTGATCAAAAAAACATTCTATGAAAATGTCATAGCATTTCATCATGATATCTTCAGTGCCGTAGCCAAGAAAAAAAGTAGGTAAGTTTTTAAGTTGTAAGTTTTTTCTGGAAATATGACACTTTTTGGAAGTTATTCGGAGAATGTACGTTTTCTTGCTGCTTGTTGCTATTATCTTCTAAACAGACTTTGCTTTCAATTTTTGAAACTATTAGTTTATTTCACGATGGTTGTCTGTCTTGATAATGTATCACTACTAAACAGTTTTTTGCTCAAATTTTAACAGAAACTGACCTCGCTCAAAATCACAGAATATATGAATAGTTTTATAAACCTAGATAAAATTCTTTTCATTGGAAGAATATATCAAAATTAAATACCCACATCACATCTATCTGCATGAGGTAGCATACCTGGTCCGTGCATATTGTTCAAATCGAGCCATATTTTATAACCATTATCAATCAAAAATTGATGTATTTTTAAGCATAATTCTTTATCGGCCCATGAATAACTGATCATTATATCATACTGATATACACGTTCAACAGGTTGTCCTGTTGTTGTTATTATTTGTTGTGATCCATCAGCTGCTGTAACTAATGTTTTTGTTGTCACTTTTTCTTCATCATCCGGTAGTTTCGCTAACAATTCTGCCTCTTTTTGTAATTTCCATAATAGACCGTCAGCTGCTTTTTGAATACCTTCGTCGTCTGGTGTTGTTGGATGTATTTTTACTAGTGCTTGAATATTAGAAATAAGTAATTTATTATTTCTCAATATTTCTGCTCCTTGTTCATTAAATGTCATTGACCATAATGTTTCTAATGCTGATTGTTTAGCTTCACCAGTAAATTTTAATGCACATCCAATGATTAAGTCTAGTAGATTTTCTCGAATTATTTCTTCTTTGATTTGCTCATGTTGAACAAGTCCTATAGAAGAAAATATTAAACTTTATTAATTATTGTCTTTCATCATTGAATATATTCATTTTGATAAATATTTTAGAAAATTAGTTTATCTTACCTTTCAAACTTTCAGCTAATACATCGATATTTTCAGTCGAATTTCCATTCAATGCTTTTTTTAAATTATCTACGACTTTAGCGAGAATTTTTTGAGGATCTGTTACATCATCTTCTTTCATAATATAGCCTAATATCATCTGACAATTTAATCGTATTTGCTCATTTTTTGATTGGGTCAATGCTGTAAATCTTGGAGTTAATTCTTTCTGTTTGAGATATGTTAATATTGTTGAATCATAAATTATATTTGACATGAATACACAAATAGTATTAATTAATATTGTTTGTTGATTTGTTAAGTTTTCAACTATATTATTAATCATTACTGGTTCTTCTAATATGATTAGAATATTATCGATTATAGACATTTTTTCACCTAAACGTTTTGAACATGATTGATATTTACTAGCACCATAATTTAACATACTGACAATATGATGTATTGAACGCATAACAGGTGCTTTCCATTGTTTTATCGATGGTACATATTGATTTAATATTTCATCAAAACGTGGAATCATAATTTCGAATAATCTGATTATTAATTCTTCTTGACGAGTGCCTAAATTCGGAATAAAAGTAGAACATACAATATTAATCAATAAATATATATATCTATCATTTAAACAAAACTTGTTGTAGTATGATTCGATTTCATGGATAAAGACCGATATTGTACTAGAATACGATTGATTCTCTCTCGTATATTTACATCAATTTTCCATTCTTTTGTATTTGAGAAGTGTAATATTAAACACAATAAAGTGAATTTGATTTTTTCCACTCGGTATCTCGAGTGTATAGGTATTTGAGAAGTGTAATATTAAACACAATAAAGTGAATTTGATTTTTTCCACTCGGTATCTCGAGTGTATAGGTAAAAAGACACATCATTCAAAATCTGAACACTTTCGTTCTCCAAAACTCAAAATACATTTAGCTTTTATGATAGATATTGTCATTGATTGCCATCTTAATAGCTCATATTCCTGTCTCGAAGTCTGAATTGGCAAGGAGTTGAGTTTTAAACTTGATTAAGTATTTGACGATGATATTCTCTCTTCCTCTTTCTCTCTCTGTCTCTCTCTCTCTCTTTCTGCCTCTCTCGCTCTCGCTCTCGCTCTCGCTCTCGCTCTCGCTCTCGCTCTCGCTCTCGCTCTCGCTCTCAAAAGAAAAACTTACCGTTATATGATGTTAAATAGCCTGGACAACGAACAAGAAACAATTTTTGTTGTCCTACTAATGCTTTAGCATCTGGTTTCAATAGTCTAAATGCATGCATATAAGATTCTGAACAAATACTATTCACAATGGGCTCTAATAATGCGAATAAATAATGAACATCGCTCAGCTGTGTTTTGGTTTGACGTTGATAATCACCCAATACATCAATGATAATATCAAAATTATCTATATCTGGATCATTTAACTGTTTTCCATTCTTACTAACAGTATCTAAATAATTTTTTATTGAATCAATAAGTTGCCAATTTAATAGTAATCGATTAAGTGTTTCAATTTCTGTATCATTCGACACATTATGAACCATATTAAGCAATATTTCACTTGCATTATAAACTGTAATATATTCGTGTTTTGATAAAAAACTACCGTTATATCTTGAATACCATTTATTTAATAATTTTCTTATTGTATTTCTTATCAAAACATAAAATTCATGATCTCGTAATTCTGGATCAAGTAATACTTGACCATCAACGTCGATTAATACCTTAGCAATTTCATACATATGGCGAGGATTACGTGGTTTTGGTTTTAATTCATAAATAAAATCATCAAATATTTTTCGTAATTCTAAAGGTGTTATTGTTTCACTATACTCGCTAATTAGTTCACAATGTTGGATTATTATCTTTGATATTGGTAAAGATTTTTGATTAGCATATTGTGGCACATAAGGCTTTTTATTAAAATGAGCCGGACTCTTGTAACTATTTCCATTCTGAATGTATGGATCTTGACGATTGGATGGATAACGATTGGATGCTGATGTGTGTCCGTTATACTGGCCACCGTTCCCATAATAGTTTCTACTTGGATTTTGATAATGGTAAGAATTAGTATTATACATGATTATCTATTATGTGATACACTTTGCTTTGATTTTTTATATTAAAACAAAATAAGCATTATGTGCTATATACAAAAGAGTAATGTTTTTTCAAGCGCATCAACCTTCACCATCCAACTATGTATGTTATTGTTTATAAAAAACACCTACACTGGATAAACTGATTTTTTATTTTGCTGAAGACACAGTGCTCACGACTAATGCGCTCACTTTGCCATTGGCTAATTATAATCTTTATAATTTTGTTCTCAAGTCTGCTGATAAGAAAAACTAAGGAATAGTTCACATCATTGGTATACGTTTTTTGCTAATCATTCAGTAATTGAGTCTACATGCATTTAAATTGCGTTTTTACAGCTCAAATTGATATAATAAATATTGGTAGTATAAGCAGAAATTGGTAGAAATCTGTCAAATATGATTGATTTCTTAAATTTTTATATCATTATACTAGGCATGCATCGGTTATAATCGATTGAAATTGTGCGCTTCTTTTAGCAAAAACTTTTTCTCAATGAAAACTGCTTTTCCAGAATTTTTCTAACAACTGGATTCTGTAGAGCAAACATTTTTCTACAAGATGAGATATGAGAGTATTCTTCGTCTTGATCCAACATTTATAAAAGAAAAGATTTCTTAAAAGTCTCATGATCGGTTATAACCGATTTAGGGGTCTTCAATTGCGGTAGAAATAGAAAACATGAAGACTTTCGCTATAAGTTGAAGTCTATTTGGCCAAAGTCGTTCCACCACTCTCTTCAAAATATCACATAAAAGATATGGAGATAATCTTAGACTGTAAACCAATGAATCATTCGGTTAACAACTTCAGCTAAAAACAAGAAAACAACTATCTCTCTCTCCAGACTAGAAGGTCATGACCTTCTATTAAGGCTTCACACTATCGAGCACTCGCTAACATTGTGCTACCTTGAAGGGCAATTCAGAATAAATTTAGGTACAAACTGGATTTCTATTTAGGTTGTCTCAGTGGAGAGGTTTAAACGATCTCTAAGACCGCAAACACGAAACAGAATACCTTCCAACACACGCAAATACCCTAATAAGAAACCTATACATTCTTGATAGGGTCTTAGAGAAATCCTACCAAGGTCTAACAAAATCCTGTAGAACCCCGATGTAATCCGGTAGCCCTCAAAGTCATAGGATTTGCCAAAATTCTGTTAAGACCCGTATAGGAGTTAACAAAAAAATGGAAAGACTGAGCCCCAGATAAAATCAGATGCGCTTCTTGGCGGTTTCCTGCTAGAACCCTAATTTTAAGCTCCGCATATGTTTTTTGTTTTTTTCTAAATTTATTATAGAAAATCCTTAATAAATAAACATAGCAATAAAAGATGAGTAAATCGAGATAAGCCTCATTGTATGCCCATGACGAAACAAAAGAGTACATTAATCAAAATAAAATCCATTGAGAAAAAATGAGTCTATATCAAAGAAAATATTTTTACAAAAACGAGATTGAGTGTGGTAGTGGTATGTGTGTATAATACATTGTAAAAAATAGTCGTAGATTAATAAACTATCGAAAAGGGTTTATTGAGACCAATAAACCTTTTAAAAAACGCTTTTCCGTTTTTTAAATACAAAAAACTAAAAATCGTTCGTGGCAGATGCAA